CATTCAGCATCGGTACAATTGGTTCCACGTCTTTCACTTAAGCTAGTCATTTTATACAAACTATTTATAGTGTTTTTCGAGATTATGTGATTATGTCGAATTTAAGGATTTAGACCTATTAGATTTAATAACTTTATACTCTAGAATAATACGATTCAATTTTAGTCCAGATGCTCGAAGAGGGCCTGGATTCTCCAACCATCTCTTCAAGAGTGTTATATTCGCCATATTTTGTGGGGGTATTTGTGGTGAGAATGAGTGAGATATATAGGTATAAATATAGTTTGTATCATTGTTCGTAATTTGAGGGATAAACATATCACAATTCATTTTTGTTCGATATAATGATAGAACCAGGTTTATTTTTCGTGAAGAAAAAAATAACGATTCATATAATTATTTGGGTCTTTGTTCCACGAGATTATTTCTGTGACACCGCTAAATTATTTTCTCACTATATATATATATATATATGAATTAATTAATAAAGCCTTTTCCTTACTGTAGATAGCTTTTCCGATAAGAAAAAATACAAATGGGACCCAAAAAGGATATGAATGAGGAGAGTTTATTATCAGTAATAATATCAAAATTCATATGTTACGGAACTTGAGATCCGAGATCGCCAAAATCTGTCTTCTACAAAAGCGATCGCCAAACTGGAAGGTTTAATTTCCCCATAAAAGGCGAAATATATTTAGTTCTTGACACCCATGACCCGAAGCCAATAGTTATGTTCATCTTTATCAAGAAATCGTTAAAGCCGAAGCTGAAAATGATACTACGAGTCAAAATGTTTTACGATGCTATTATCAATTTGGGAAAAAAATATCAGAACGCTTTGAATATTATAAGAATGTAAAAAAATATCGAGATCGTAGGGCTCGGGATAAAGTAGATAAAGAAGTTAAAGAGCAACTCCCTAAGGAGGTCACTGATACTACCCGTTGGAAGCAAACAGAAAGAGCCAGAAAGATATATGATCTTTTTGATGAAATTGGTATTGATAAAATACAACGAGTTAAATCTTATTCGGCATTAGCCATTTCAAAATTAAGTTGGAAAAATATCGATTATATTGTAGATAGCATTAAAGAGTAATGTAAGTACTGCGCCATAGTCACGTGACATACTGACCTTGAGGTCAGCAAGTTTCATTATTAGGAAATATGAATTGTTAAAAAATTAATAAAAGGTTTCTCTACTATGATTTTCGATTCCCGCTCGATTAAATGTAATTATCAAGATCCATACCTTCTTCGAGAAGGCGTCTAACTTCTTTGATACTCTCCCTGTTCATATTCCCATCTACTTTGGTAATAATCGCATTGCCGTAAACATCAGAATTTCCGTTATTTTTTGTTACATGAGATAAAAGTCTTTCGTTTAATCCATTACCTTGATCCTCTGCAATACTATTTTTCAAGTATACGAGATAATACTTGTCCCTAATGAATTCCTTAACCATTACTTCATCGTGAAAATCGGAAGGAATACATGCATATATTTTACAGGATCTTTCTTAGGTAATAGTTGAGCGTCTTTTCCATATTTTCTGATTGTATATCAATGTAATTCAAATTTGATTTTTTATCTGCATAATCGATCAGATAATCTGTATGTTATACGACATTTTAATTAGGCTGTGCAACGAAATTATTTTTTAGAATTTCAATGTGTACGACATGGAAGGTCATGGAAATTCTGCACGCGTGATCTGATTGATAAACTATAAAAATGTGAATCTACGACCATTTCCTACTAAAAAAAATCATTTCTCTTTTAATCTGTACAAACTGCATTACTATTTTTATTCAAGTAATAAACAAACATGTCTGATACCCCCATTCCGTCAATCGAATTAGTTAAGAAATGGAAGCGAGCTAATGTTGTTGATTTTTTGAAAGAGAAAAAAGAAGAGTTAGAACTTGAAAATGAGGATATCCAGATAATTGATAACAATAGGGTTAACGGTCGTGCCTTCCTTGAGTTAAGTCAAGAAGATCTTGAGAGATGGAAAATGCCAGGTGGACCGGCAAAAACCATAACAATATTGATTGAGAATATTAAAGGCGAAACGCGAGGTAAGTACCACGACTGCATTCGAATATACCAAACCTACACTGCCTCTCTCGCTGTCATTTCATTTTTTAACTTTTACCTCGCTAATAATAGAGCATGAGAAAAAAAGGAAGGCAAAGGAAGAACGTAAGATTATATAGAGTTGGCTTTGCTTTGTATCGTGCTCATTCTTACTAATTTTTTGTTTTTCAGTCACTATCACAAAACTGAAAAGAAAAAAATGGATGGTAAATAGTATGATGCATCCATATGACTGGGATACTCATTATTTTGCCGACCCGGCAGAACAAAATGCACCATTGCTTGAGAAAATTAGAGATGGTCACTTCGTAGTGCTATACGGTACACGGGCTTCGGGAAAGTCTACAAGGGTACAAAAAGCCATTCAGCAGTTGGAACATGACTTCGTTTGCAACTAGTAAGATTTTTTCTTGCCCAAGCATATTTTGGTTTGCAAGTGATACAATCTAATTACATTCGCCATTTTATTTTCTTTTCTGTGATAGCTTGTCTTTAGAATATGTTAACATAAACAGCTTAGATAACTTCTGGAAGACACTTGGTTTAACTCTCAGTAGAGATAATGACTGTAACTTTGAATCCTGTAATACTATCAATTCTGCTCAAAGTTTCCTTGATTTCTTTTCTAAAAATTTTGTCAACAAAAACAAAAATCTTCGTATAATCCTCTTCCTTGATGAGTTTGACAAATTGCTCAAAGCGGATTCAAAGGTTTGCTCTGAGGTTCTCGATATATTTCGTGGCATTAGGAATACCCCAGGCACTTTTGCAATCCACTCTGTCGTTGCTATTGGTACCTTCAGCATCCTACATATAGACTCCAGCAGTTCTACGTCACCCTTCAATATCAAAGAACCGTTCCAGAATCCAAGTTTTACACTAAACCAAGTACAAAAACTATATGAACAGTTTGCGGCAGACTCTAAGATAACAATTGACCCGGATGTTGTTGAAGATATTTATGCACAGACAAACGGGTATGTAAAACCAGTTGAATTTCAAATATTTTACTGAGACTCATGATTTGTTATTTTCAATAGGCATGCTGGCCTTGTATGCCTTTGCGGGCGTGCAATCGAAGTAAATCTGATCCAACACTTGGAAGAGGGAACGCACCTGAGCTATGATATATGGCAACGTTTCAGCATGTCATTAGTTGAGGAAGTTATCCAGTACCAGACGTTTCGAAGTATGGTTAATACTCTTTTGGAACCCAGATATAAGAATGCAATGGACTTCTTTCGTTCCAATTTCCTGGTGGATATTGGCCTTGAATTTAAGAAAGTCCCTAATATTGATAATATTGAACTTGCTGAGTTTCTCGCGGCCGAAGGAGTCCTATTGCCTGGTAGAAGCCCCGAAACATTCAAGATTTCCTCACCTCTTGTGCGCTGGTTGATTCTTAGTCGTGTAATTCCCAAGGTATATCCCTCCTGCCCGCAGGTAGAAATCCCTTTTCATTCTTCTTCAAATACTTTGGATATTCTCGAAGTCTTGAAGCAAGTAGTCCGTATATTCGACAAAAAAATTATCGAAGTGACATCCTGCCATTCATTCAAGATGGCACATGTGTTTGTGGAAGCTTCTAAAGATCGTAGGGTCCCTAGGGAGAGTGTGTATGATTCAGAGTTATACCGTATTCTGTCAAATTGGCTTAGCATTAAGAACTTTCAAATCACAGGACAGTGGCATTTGATAAGTCGCACTGGTGGACGCAATAATCATAAATACAGTGACATAATAATTAATTCGCCCGATCATCCAACAGTTGTTCTTGAGTTATTAGCAACGGCGAAACAGAGTGAGCTCGATGAACATTTTGAGCGGGCGCTTACTTATGCAAAACTACTCTCAGCAGGTGAGACCTGGGTCATCCATTTTTCATGCGAGGATAAAATAACTGAGAATCCTTATTGGCCGGCTGATAGAGAACTTAAAAAGGGTCTTCGAGTTGTACACTTTTGGCACGATCTCTACTTTACGAAGATTAAAATGATTGCATGTTGGTGGGATGTGAACAATAATACGAAGCATGTTACTGGCGTCGAGGAATTTATGGTGCGTTCTATTATGAATATTTCTTTGATTGTTTGCTTTATATTTCATGTTTCTAACAACCTCTGTTTGATTGCAGGTTTCATAATAGTTAGAATAGTATCAGAAGAGCAAATTAGCTGTATTTGTTTTTCGCCTCTGAGTTAGATAGCAAAACCAAATCAATCCCGTTATTACACAAAGAAATGTAGTTCGCATTTGCAATTATATAAAGCAGTTAATAAACTGACCCAGGTAGTTCGATTCTTGCATATATAATCGATTTTACTTTTACATGTACTGTATATTTTCGGGATTTTATTACATTGTGTGAATATTGATATCCACAATTTTTGATCAGAAATTTTTCTTGCTAAAGTGATCAGCGCGAATAATTGTTCACGCGCATGTGATTTTTATTTTTTGTGGAAAGTGAACTCCATACACTAATTCGAAATTTGAATAAATCTATCCCTTATTACTAGGCCATACAGATTTCAAAATTTTCAATTCTTCCATTTGTTCATTTTTAATATAAAAAATTTGTGTGTAACACATCACTTTGAGGCAAGGCTCCGAACGAATCAATGAAATTTGAACTAATTTGGACTATAACCATACCCTATAATAGTTGGACTATAACTACCCCGAAAATGACGAGAGAAAAATGAATCACGACACACTTTTCGGGTTAGTTATAGTCTACCAATTGATGATGTGCAGATTGCACTTGTCACGTAGGGTTGTGTTGGTCCGGTCCGGTCCGGTCTCGGTCCCAAAAGACCGGTCTTTTTTTGAAAGACCGAAGGACCGGTCTTTAGATTCGGTCTTTGGGACTGGTTAAAGATTGTTTAAAGGATTTTGATGTGAATCACATATTGAGAAGTAGCTTTTTGGTCAATCTTAACTTTTTATACTCATCAATTATTTTATTTTACAAATTTATCCTGCTTACTATCTAGAAACCTTTGGCAACAAATAACAACAAATTTAATTATTTTTGTTCCTTTTTTTCTGCCAAATTTATTAATAAAAATATGTTTTATTTATTATAATATTTATATTTATATTTATTAGATTTTATTTTGAATCCATGATCATTAGGATCAAAAGCAGAAATCATTGTACGCCATTCTTTCTCTACTACATTAATTGATTGTAAATCACAAATTATCCAATTTATCACAGCATCATCACGTTTTCTCTGGTCAATTGAATTATGAGGATCATTACGGTATTGATGTAAAGTTCTTTGTATTTTGGGTGCAACAACTGAATGTATTTGTTTCAGATGTCTTCGTAAAGTAGTAACACTACTAGTTTTTGAAAGTTGGCTATTACATTTCTTACATACTAATTTATTTGGTGTAAATAAACTATTGGTTTTTATTATACATACTAAATTATTATATTATTTTTTTATTATTAAAGTTCCTTAATAACAGCCTCAAAAAGTGAACAATATAATAATTAATTTTTTAACAAAAGTTTGGCCTTCGATAAGACATAATTAATAAAAACTCCCAAAAAAAAAATCAATTTTAACATAAAACCCGGTGTACAAAAAGAAAATTTTTATTGTTCAAAATTTCCTTATTAAGAAAGATCAGCTGGTCTTATAAAGACCGGTCCAAGACCGGTCCTAAAATTTAGGACCGTGGTTCAAAGGGACTGGTTCAAAGACCGGTCCCAAGACCGGTCTTTTAAAGACCAACACAACCCTATTGTCACGTCATTCGAGAGCTACCAAGGTGTGCTGTGGCTTAACGATTGTGACCGATTTTTGTCATCACCCCATATCATGTGCTGGTTTGATGATTATGGCCGATTTCTGTTGTTGGGCCACATGCGACATATCATATACTGGTTTGGTAATCGTGGCCGATTTCCATCATTGGGCCACATGGACAAAAAAAATATGCCGACGATGTATTAGATCATGTGTCGTCATTTGTGAGCCCGATGTGAGGGCTATGCCCGAACATGGCACGTAGTGCCTTAGCTTTCTGGTTAATTCCTCGATGAGGGCCAGAGTTGAGGCACATAGTGCCGAAATAGTATTTGTGACCTGGCTTTGTATGATGTGATCGAATACTGATTAAGAATTCGGCACTACGTGCCTCATTCTTAGCAGTTATTTGGTAATACACCAAAGGATCCGATGATGAGGCACATAGTGCCGAATTGTTAGCGGTTGTTAGCTTCGTATAATTCATTCAAACATCGCCCGATGATGAGGCACGTAGTGCCGAATTGTTATCCCTATTTGGTAACCCACCAAAGCATCTGATGATGAGGCACGTAGTGCCGAATTATTAGCAGTTGTTAGCTTCATATAATTCATTCAAATATCACCCGATGATGAAGCATGTAGTGCCGAATTGTTATCCCCACTCAGTAATAGTCAAAGCATTGTAATAAGTATATCTGTTTTCTGTTTTTATATAATGAAAAAGGATAGTATCCTTTTAACATGAAATGGCAAGATGGATTCCGGAGCCCCTGTATCGACCACGCATGTATATTTTTTGTTGTTATTCATGGTATCATAAAAATCATACGAAAAAATAGCAATCAAATTATTTTCATTGGGTCTTCTGATGCGAATCCTGACCTTTATTTAGGGATCAAATTAATTTGAAAAATTATAAAAATTCTAAAAACTAAATCTTATATAAAAGATAACGCTTCTCATTAAGTACGTATTCAAACCTTGTAATCATCTCCACTATTAGCGCGCTGAGAAATCACCATCTTCGCCGGCTTACTACGTAGTGGCAGATGTGTCTGATCAACCGGGTGTTGGATGGCACCAGGCATAGTTTCGAGAACGTAGTCCAATTGATCATCGCTATACTCCTTTCCATATTCTACTACCTTCTGGTTGTGTACCGTCACCCACTCGTTTTCATGTCCCGTAAATTCACCTTTATCGAGTGCGTTGTAGAAAAATATGAAGTTAAACCCGACTTCGTCATCAAATTCGAACTCAACGTCAGCGATTATTCTGAAGGAATGTCTTCTGAGATATTCTGGCATGGAGGAGAGCCATCTGAAATTCTTTCCCATGCGAGCTATGATAGGTTAAATAAAACAAACATCAAAACTTTACTACATGTATTGCCACTATGCTTTCACGTATATAAAGAAAATTTTGAGCTGTACCAAGAAACCTTTGTGCCTGACCAGGCCTGTGCTCATATTCATATTTGAGGAGACTTTGAAGTGTTTCGGGTGGATTTGGTTCCTTCATTATTTTAAATAAAATGAAAAGTCTAACGAGACATTACTCAATATTAATATATATATATGGTTTTCACAAAAATATGTGTTCATTCCATTCATTAAAGAATATACCCAGCGAACAGAATCAATATAGAAGTCGTGCCAATTATGCCAATTATGCCAATTATGAAAAGGAATGCAACGAATGTAAATAGAAATATAAGAGGAAAAAAGAAAATACAACACATTATTTTTCAAGTGGTAAAAGAGAGAGAGTTGGGTCGATTACTCTTGAATTTTTTTTTTTTTAAATAAATACGTAATCATGCATTATTCATTAAATCAAACTCGTGACATCTTGTGTAGCCTTATTATGAAGATGACACTTACGCTGGATAAATTCCAGATCCGAAAAGTTTAATGACAGCTATACTGGATTACATTTGTTTATTTAATGGCTCAGAACATATGATGAGCTTGTTAATATTGCTAGACGATATACAAAAAAATGGCGCATATCAATTCTTAACCGCGTATTTTCTGGTCCTTCCCAAATAATAATGTACTTTTACGTTAAAAATCATCTGGGTTTAAATTCAGATCTGTTCAGATATGATATTAGAGTTCGGATACAAACTCTATAAAAACAAAAAAAGAATATATTTCTTCTGTATGTATCTATTCTCTTCCACAAAAGAAGTACATTTTAAACTTAAAAGGCTCTTTATGTTTTTTGACTTCGAATTTATTTAAATATGTGTAATGCAGAGAATGCTATCCGATGATCTTTTTTAAAAGACAGTTTAAAAAAATTTATATAAAAAGAAAGCCGAAGATTGTTTTTTAAAAGTATGAAAGATCAATATATGAACGAGTTTCATAAGGGTGACATCTACTACTACATGATGGCGAAATAGTTTTGTTTCGGTAATCAGGTTCGAATCAAACCTAAAATTTCCGAAATTCAAAACAGAAACTTGATCCGAATAAACATGGATTTTCTAGAAGTTTATTTAAAAAATAATACGCTTTTTTTCTCTTTACCTTTAATGAGATACTTTTGAACAAGACATAGAAAGATTATTTGATAATTTAAAAGTTTCGATACAACATTTGTGGTCTTCCGGGCACTTTTTAATCTGGTAAATAAAAATTTTGAGTCGTAGAATTATTTGTATTTTCAGAAGCTATTAATTTATTTATAAATGGTGAATTTCAAGTTAAAATTATGCCCTGTTTTAAAATTACATCCCTGTTTAAGCCCGATTCAATCCCTATTTTAAAGAAAAAAAATAATAAATTTCAAATATATATATATATAAAATGGATGCAATAGATGCAAATGAATACTTGATACAATTTTTGGGAAGTAAGTATTAGTCAAATATTATCAAGTTAGTTGATGATTATATTAATAAAAAAAAGATTTTTCTCATTTGTATATGGGATTTTTGTTAAAAATGAAAAATAAAATTGTAAAGGCATTGATAATCTTCCATCTGAAATACGTCATCATTTTAGTGAAATGTCAAATAGAGAACAAGAAATTGATGGTATGATTCAAAATTAATTAATCGATACATTACATATATATCAGTGTAGTGTGATTGATTAAAAATTTTTTTTACAATAAATAAATAAAAGATTTATTGAAAGGGATTGAACGTCGTAAAAAAAGATTATGGTGTTTATATGACGGAGGATCATTTGATAGTGATTGTTCTGTAGTTGAAAGTATATATGAAAATCAATATGGCGATGAAGAAGATAAAAGTAGTGAAGAAGAAGAAGATGATTGTTATGGCGAAGATGAAGATAACAACAAAATCGCAGAAATAAATTCAAAAAAGAAAAAACATCAAGTTGTTAAAGTTATAACAGAGTTTGAAGACGAAGAAATGTTAAAAGAAAAGGTTATGAATGATTACATAAGAGTATCACAATTGCAAGATGAAAAAATTGAAATTACAGATAAAGCTTTGGCATTAGTATGTGTAAGATTTGTCTATCCTTTATTCTTTCTTGGTTAAATGATAATAGCATTGTGTTATTTATAGGTTGAAAGATATATTAAACATTTTGATGAAGATCTTGATAGCTTATTTCCTCAACATAATCTTCGTGATTGTTTATCAAATTTTGAATCAACATTTGAATCATTAAACACATCTCCTCAACATGTAAATATAATATCATTGTCATCTCAAGTAGATAATAAAACAATTGTTCAGCCATCAAATACAAGTATAAAATCAACAACATCAACAATTGCTTCTTTTCCTACAACATCATTTTTGTCATCATCAATATCTAGACACTCTAACATTAATACTTATGACTATAATAATGGAATATATTATCCTTCCATGAAATCAGAAGAAGGAGAATTTTGTATGTTCTTATTCTCTTCTTTTTCTTAATAATAATGTAATTACATAAACATAATTTAATAATGATTATTAGAAACTAATTGACGTTATGCTATAGCATTACCATTATTACCAAATCCCTCTAGCTCTACAGCACAAATTGGCAGAGGTAATAATAATTACATTACTATTATCTTAAATGATAACTGAATGAAAAAATTATTTGATTATTTCTTGTTAACCATATTGCCTAATAATCATGATAATATGAAAATTCGATAGGGTTAAATCGAAGGAATTTGTCTATGTCACCTAATCAACCATTACCACGACGTAGAAGGCAAATGTTTGTAATTTATAGAAAATTTTATTTAAAAAATTTATTATTATTAAATATATTATATATATTGATAATGTTTTTTGGGGGGTAAATAGCAATAATAACCAAGATACCATCTCAATTTATACAAATAACATTAACTCAATTACCACTTCTACAACTAATACAACTACTGCCATGAATGCCCCCATTGCTGCTTCTTCTTCTTCTTCTTCCACTTTCAACACCACTATTAATGATTATAACAATAATAACAGCTTTCCACAATTTATTAAAATACAATGTTCTGATGGTGATAAAAATCATTTTCATCATTTAAATTCAACAGGATCATCTTCAATGATTTCTCCTGATAGAAACATTAATCTTAATAGTCTCAACCCCAATTCCAATATTAATAATAGTAATATTTTTAATATCATCAATAACAATAATTTAAATTTACAAACATATGATTCTTCGTTTATTTCTGATGGCAACACATTTTCATCAAATTATATACAAACTGTTGACCCTAATGAACCTGTATATTGTATTTGTCGACAAGTTAGCTTTGGTGAAATGATTGGATGTGATGGTGAAGTATGTAAAAAAAATCAATATACCTTAAATTTTTATTATTACAGTTCACTTACTTTTATACCAATATTTATATTTTAGAATTGTCCTATTGAATGGTTTCATTTGGATTGTGTTGATCTTAAAGCAGTACCAGAAGGAAGATGGTATTGTGAACATTGTATGAGTACAATGAATCAAGTAAAAAAACGAAAAAGAGGTCGACCTATTGGATCATGAGTGCTTATTAATTGTAAACTTTTGAATATTTTTAAATTGATTTTTTGTATTTATTTTTATTTTTAATTCAAGTCTTTCATTTATATTTTTATATTTTTTAGGTAAATTCCTTCCGACTTATTCACAATCCTTATCCAATTAGTCCTGATCCATATATTTTTATAATCATCATTTATCACAATCATTGTCTGTCCTAAAATATTTATATATTAATATATGAATATGAATGAACATGAATAAAATTACATTGGTTCCATTTTGCTAACAAGTTAACACTTCAAACTTTTGCTGCATGCCATACCGGACAAAAGATTATAATTAAACTAATTTATTATAATAATGTTCTGCTTGTGTTTAATATAATAATAAAGATAACTATTTAACAAGTGGCAAATTAATCAATTACCAACTACTTTGTTAAATCTCTCTAATTAGAAGAGACTCCTTTCGATATTGAGTGTTGAAGCAATGCTTTCCAATATATATTGACTCGTGTTAATGATTTGTGTATGTGTATAGGTTTTTGAGAAGGGTGGTAAAGTGGAATGAGAAGTTGAGAGAAATCTTGATACATCAGCAATAGCAATGGTAGTTTCTGAATGAGGAGGATCTAGAGGCTTTATAGTGTAACTATATTTAAATGAAATGCATGATGGGTTGATACACTCAACAGCACCATGTACTTTGACATTAGTGATCTTGCCATTGATAATCATGCAAGCTTAGTCTGTTGAAAACACCACTCGCAAGTTTTGTGAGTATTGATATTTATTAGTCATTCCAAAAGTGCAATGCCTTCTATATGCTGCTCCCTCATTTCACCACCACCTCTACGAGCATGTCCCTTTATATGAGAATTAAATTCTGTACCAACTGTACCAATCAACACAACTGGCAGGATAAATGATTGTGATTTTGGACATTAAAGAGGATGAGAATATGAAGATTGGAGAGAGCAAGAAATATGATGGTTTTACAGTTGGTGCAATATCCATCAAGTTGTGAGACAGTTAGTTGATAATGATTGAGGTTGTGATTGTGATGAAATGGTGAGTTTGGTTTGTAATTTCTCTATGGGTTTTTTCTTTTCTTTTTCTTCAGCATTTTTGTTTTCTTCTTTCCCTTTAGCTTTGACACCCTTGTGAATATTATTCCAATATTGCCTAAGGAGTGCTTCTTTTGTATAAAATTTGCTTGCATTTCTCTTGCAAATCCTGGTAGGCTTGTTGTTTAGTTGTGATGTCATTATTGAATTTTTTGAATTTTGTGATTTTGGTTTGCCTTGGATTGATTTTTTTCTCTTGCTACGAGCATTTTTCAAATCCTTTTCAATATTTACAGCATCAGAAACCCTTCAACTTCATATTTAGTCTTTTATATTCTTTCATCCAATTCAAGAATGATCGAAAAAGTTTTTTCCTATCATTATATTGGCTTGTCCAGTTCGATAAGATCCATTTGAAATGATTTTACCAGTGATATGGAGTGTATATTTATCAACATGCTGATATATTGGCAAAATCCGAAGCCATGATACCAGTAGATATCCTTCATTTTCTCCAAATCAAAAAAAAAAGCACCAAAAACTCTCCTCTTGTTTCTTTTGATTTTTTAACCTGATTGGTTTATTTATTTGGACCAAAAACCTCATACATACATTTCTAAAGAACTGAATAAATGATATTCGAGGAAAGATTAATGTCGTGGAATTGTAACATCTAGTTGCTCTAAGTACAGAATTGGAAATAAAAACAATTAGCGCACGATGTCCGTAGAAAATTTATTTCTGAAAAAAATAGAGATGATTCTTTAATAAAATACGTTTTTATTTTCGATAAAATGTACTAAATGGACAACGTAAAAAACGTTTTTTTTAAATAACAGATTCCGTTTTTCTGTTTTTAATTGAAGTAATAATAATAAGCGGACTTTTCTAACGTAAAAGATAGCTGTTTAAAATAATGATTCCGGTTTTTATGGTTTTAATTGAAGTAATAAACGGATTTTTAACGTAATAGTAAGGGCAGTTGTTTTAAGCAGTGATTCTGGTTTTTACGGTTTTTAATAAATATTAATTGATAAACGGATTTTTTTTAACGTAAAGAATATAAGAAACAGTATTATCACCACCAGAAATAATTATTCCAAAATACTAAAGAATGTGATTATAATTAATAGTTAAATATAAAAAATGTAGTCTTCGCCATACACGTTCTCACCTAAGTTTAATAGATAGTAATAGTCAAAGTTCGATCAAATCGATGATTATATAAAAATAATTCATAATTAGTAGTTAAATATGAAAAAAATGTGATATGTTTTTGAATGTGACCGCCATCGGTTACACTTATAACTCGCATTATTATTATTATTATTATTATTATTAAAAATTTTATCTATTATAACCTGGTCATGTAAAACAGTAAAAAAATTACTTATAACTCACGCCAAACATTTTACTACATACCTTAATTTCCAATTATTTCTGATTTTTTGATTCGCATTATTATTAAAGGAACATATTATCGCATTAATATGATTTGCCATTCATAGAGTTTTCTAATTTACCCTGTCCATTTGACACCAAACACAAGCACATAGAATTCGTTTAACCATTTTTTCAGGAATATATATTAAAATTAGTATTTTTGTAATTAAATACTAAATCATAAATTATATATGATTAATGTAAAATAAACTATAGAATAATACTTACTAAAATAAACCTTGTTATTAATTTATTTTTGATAAATGCCCAATCTTTCGTAATAAATATTCTTTTAACATCAACAACTTTTCTTGCATTATTTGATGCTGACCCAACGTATTGAATACTGAACAACGTCGCCAGCTATATGCAGTGTTAATAACCATTGATTCGTCTCTTGTATGACATCTTCTAGATGCACGTAGTGCTGTACATGGAATAACTAACAAACAAGTAATTATTTGACTAATATAATTAATTGTGTTGCAGTCTTCGATCAATTCCAGGAGCATGAGGATTATAAGAAAAACCAAAAGCAAATTAAGAAAGGAATTACAGTGACTTGAAACTCGATAAGAAACAATACTTGAATTTTAGGGCAAGTACATTACACTATTGTAGTTTTTCAAATAGTGTTAATTTTTAAATAGATATTATACGAGCAACCTCTTGATTCTCTCGATTTTCCAACAGCCAAAGGGAAGGCAGAAAAAGTCATCAAAGATGTAGGAATTTAGAATTTGCATTTATGAAAAGGGTGCAAAAACTAGCATTTGTTATTAATCTACTGGTGTAGTTTAAAGAGGCAAATTCAACGTTTCCAGTCTCTGAAGCTGATTTCATTCTTCATGAATGGCTTACTTCATATTGTAATAGCACAAGCGTTAATTTTGATATGCAGTGTGTTGCAAAAAAAACCGGAAAATTTTATGTGAACTAAAAACGTGTATTAAGCCTAATTCATGCCATATAAAAAATCAAGACAAACTTATATTTCAAAAATAAATATTGAGATCTTTTATAATTGATATAATTGATAATCTTTTTTGCTTTTTGAGAAAATTAAATATACAATGCCTACTTCAAGGCAAGAAACCCAATGTCAAGCTATATTACATTTATGGAATAACGGTATATGTGAGGCCAAAGAAATAAATAAGCATACAAAAGTTCCACTTTCTACCATCTATGATAACATAAAAAAATTAAAAACAACTGGCAATTTGGATCATTTTAGAGGAAATGGCTATCAAAAAAAAATTACCACAGAAGCATTGAAAGCTTTGGGCAATATATACACAGAGATTCATCAATTTCAACTAGAACATTGGCAACAAAATTATCAGTAAAACATGTGCAAGTATCTTATTCAACTATCTCTAGACATATACACGAAAAAGGGTATAAAAAAACCCTGCCAATGGCTACACCAATGTTGACAACGTCTCATAAAGAAAACCGTGTACAATGGGCCCAACAACATCTTAATGACAATTGGAATAAAACATTATTTACCGATGAGACATCCTTTTATTATTTAGAAATAGTGTAGAACATTGGTATAAGGATAAAAGGCCAGTTTGAAGGATGCCAAAGGATCATACTAAAATTCACGTGTGGGGTGGTTTTTGTGTAGAAGGCAAAACAAACCTTTTTTGTTTTAAACAAATTATGGATGTGTCATTTTATGTGGAAATACTTAGCAGACATGTTTCAGAAATAGAAGAAATGCTTGGAGGTTCCAGCAAGACAATGACCCTAAGCATACAAGTCATCTTGCAATGTCTTTTCTTGCAGAAAATGTACCAAATGTTATAGACTGGCCTTCAAACAGCCCAGATTTGAATCTGATAGAAAATCTGTGGAGTGTTGTTAAAAGAAACCTTGAGAAAAGGATGCCACAAAATTTGAAGAATTAGAATGATTTATGGTTAATGAATGGCAAAGTATTCCACATAATGTCCTAATTAATTTATTAAATTCTATGCGATGCCAATGTGAGCTTATTATACAAAATAATGGAGAATGTATACCATATTAATTTTTTATTAATAAAACTACATTTTTTAGGCTTTTAAAAGAGATATTTTTTGTATCATTTGGGACAACCATTTTGTTGTAATAATAACCAAATATATAATTCCAGTTTTTTTGCAACACACTGTATTTGTATAGTTACTTATTTGGGCTATTGTATTTAAATGTCAGATTATATTTATATTACTGTTATAGTTGAAGCAAACAAGAAAAAAGTTGCTGAAGCAAGGAAGGGACTGAAATCTCTCAACATTCTAGAGATTCTGCTACCACATCTGAAATCAGCACTTCTCCCACTGAAATTACTGTTACAGCTGTAACTGAAGCATCTGATGAAAGATCTGATGCTTCTTCTGGTGAAGATATTTTATATACTTTTATTTATATTCTTAATATATTATTTATATTGAAATGATATTCATTTCAATCCAACTTTTTAAGACAAACTTTCTTGTGCCTTTTACAATCCAATCATGAGTTATATGTGACAAACAGCATAATTGGGATCTTTAAATCTTCTAGAATACCAACCAGGCAATTTACTTGGTATCTTTTGATAAATTCATTGTTTGAAGTTGATTAATTATAGTGATTTTGAAATGATTTTTTAAAATAACTATATGTTGATGTTGAATTTATTGATGTGGTTTTTAAAGATAAATTATATTTGATTATTATTTTTATCAATTTTGGGTAATTTGGATAAATTTCATAATTTATATGTCATGTGAATACGCTGTGATGAGACTAGTAGCCATATAGAAAGACCCCCATCAAAAATCCATTAGTGTTGTGGAACAAATTTATTAATATATTCGTTATGACAAACATTTTTAATTAATAAAAAAAGGGGCCAATATTTAAATCGGCAAGGTCTGCTGTGACAATTTTTTTGACTGTATATAAGAAAGGTACAGTCTGCCCTTGTTTCAATGAAGCGGCTGGACATATAAGAAAATTTTATTCAACATTTGTTGAAACAAGGTTACTAATCGCGTTTCAACGAATTTTTATGTTTTCATAATGTGTAACAATGTTTTTAAAAATTCGTTGTATCAAAAATTTAATTATACTTTGTTGAAACAAGGGTTCACTATAGTTTTTTATGCAAACAATTTCCTTATTTGTATTTCTTGGGTCAAGATTGACAAGGTTTTTTGTAATAAACTGAACACAGACATGACTTTTCATTATAAAAACTGAACACAGACTTTTCATCTATTCTTAATTTAATGTTAATTAATGTTAAAAAAAAAAGTCATCAATTTATACTTAATTCCAACTTTTTTTATCTAATTAATTTAAATATTGAGGTGCAACTGTAGGCTGTAATTTAAAATTACTGTTGCTCTAAGTCCCTAATTGCAAATCCAGTCATTTCTTTATCATTGCCTTAATTAATTCTTCTGAACTTTTATTTTTACTACTAACATTACTTTCACTTCTTTCAAAAATGCAGTTATCAATTGTCCTTTTTTTTTGGCTTTTTTTTTTACCTCAATTTGTTTCTGACAAGGTTTTGATTACAAAGTGAATGTTTCATGGATTCATTGAAAATATTCCATCTTCAAGCCCAATCTTCCCTTAGATTCTTCATGCAAAAATCGTTCTAAACTCTCTAGATTTTCATCACTAAATGCACTATTACTTTTTTGCCTAAAGCAAAGTTTTTTTTTTTAAGTATGTTTTTTATTTTTTAAATTTATCATGATTAATTAAGAAGATAACATGGAATTGGGTTGGCCCAGCCAAATTTAGCATAGCCATTTTAATTTTGGCATACATATGTAAACTTGATAAGTCGGTTTTGACCTAACTTGGCCAAAAATTTCCAACTTTTTTTTTTACTATTTAAAAAATTTGATAAGTCAGTCAATCTACATAAAGTCGCAACAAGCACTAAAGTCGGTCAATCACTTAGTCCAAGTACAATTAAATGAATCACAATAAGATGGTCTCGCGTGATATTTCATTATGTTTTTATTTGTAATTAGCAAAATGATTATTCATAATAAAATATCTGATATAAAAAAACTATCTTTATTGTTCATTTTTTATAATTTAGAAGGAAGAAAGCATTTTCACTTGTGAACTATATTTATATTTTATTACCTTTATTACCTCCATAAGTTTATAATGCATAATCACACATCCATTTTTTCTTGTCAAGTAATTTTAAAAAGAGAACTTTTTTTGTTTTAATCATTTATCTCAGCAGTTGTATCATGAATAATGCATTAATATTTTATTATCTCATCATTGATTATATCATTCAATAATTTAGTCTAATTCATCTATATTTTTTATCCCATTTTTATATTATTGCTTATATCATTGATTATATCATTTGTAGTCCTATTAAATTTTATTATGTTCAGAAATATGTATAAAAATGTTGATTTCGCAACCTTCTAATGTTTGAATAAAAGATAAATATTTTAAAAAATTTAAAAAATCACATGAAATTTGATAACTTGGTTCTCTTGATAAGTCAGTCAGTCATGACATGACCAATTTATCAAGTTTACATATGTAATAATGATAAAAGCACCCAGGATGGGATTAGGAAAAAAAAACTGCATTTTTTTGTTAGTTGATTTGTTTTATTCATTGACAGATTAGATGGAGTTGGAAATTTTCAATGATACCTATAAAATGATCATCATAACATCTGCTCAATTAATGTACAATTTTATTTTGTTAAAATCATGTAAATAATTCTAAATAAATAGAAGATTTATTAGTTACTATTACAATGTTTTTAGTTGATAATAATTTTAGATGTCTTTGATTGATTTTTTTTAGTTAAACAAAAAATTATTAGAATAGATTAATAATAACTTGTTCATCTAATGAAAAATTTCGTGCCAATTCCAAAATTTCTTGAATAACATCATCTTTCTTGACGGATGATGATGATTTTAAATTTTTTATTAATTTCATGATAAATTTCTCTCTAATAATAATAGTATTATTATTTTTAAATTAACTTGATTAATTGAATTGGCAAATGAATACAGTGAAATGTATTTACCTCTTATGATTAATATCTTCATCCATTAAATTACCATTATTATTATTAATGATAGATGGATTAGAAATAGTTAAATTATTGAAAAATGAAGTATTTGTATTTTTATTAAATAATTTTGAAGGTTTGATCAAATTAATTTCAATCATAAAGATGAGTGATAACACTTTAATCAACATAATATGAATTTTTATAAGGTTACTATTTTTTGGAAAAAAATTGAATCAAATTTAATAAAAAAATAGCTCCGTTAAAATCTATTTTATGAAATTATATTATATTACTAACCTATCAATTATTTTTTCATCATAATCATCATTATCATCAATGTCATTGAAAATATTCAACATAACCCCAATAATATCATTATAATAAGATTCACTCTTATTATACAAGTCATCATCATTATTTTGAATGATTAATAGTTGTCTAACAGATTTTAAAATATTTTTAACTTTTATTTTATCATCATCTAAAATAAATGATTCCAAGAGTTTCTTGCTAACTGATAGAAACTTTTTAATTGTCTCCCCTAAAAAAATATAAATATTTTACCCAAGTTCAAATTTAATTAACTGATTGATTACTACTATTATAATTTCAATTTTTAATGCTATAATTACACAAGCAACAGATGATACCCACCATTCATTCCGCAATGCTTTATTGCCAATTCGTCTTTTGGTGTTTTATGAGTTTTTTCAATTAAACTCATAATAGAAGTTGATTTTTGCAAACATATTTTATACCAAATTGAGTATAATAAACCATTTTTTAATAAATCATCTTTGATATTAAATATAATTTGATCAATTGATTTTTCCAATAAATCTAATAATTGAGAAGAAAGCAAAAATTGTATTATTTGAAAAATAGTTTCCCAAGTTTTCTGAATAAGTAATTAATTGTCATTTAAATTACCTGTTCTGGTGATATTTTTCTCATATAATTTACATAATATCCAACTTTTATAAATTATAGATAAATCAGAATTTTCATATTCATTATAGCTTGATGATAAATCTATCGACTAAAAAATAATAATAAAATCTTTTATTTATTTAAATAATAAAACTTAATCAAATAATAAAAAATAATAACATACCATATTATTCCCATATAAATTATTAATTGCAACAATTCTTGTAATACTGGTTTTTTCACACTATAAATTAATCACCTTGGTATTACATATTGTTAATAGTTACTGATACCAATATGAATATATCAAAAATTATTAAATTATTACAAACCTTATTTAAATTTTCAGCAGTTAATCCAATTTCTAAATCATCATCAATATCTTTGTTAATATTTTTAATATTTTTAGTTAATTTCCAGCAGATTTCTAATTTTTGAATCAAATTATTCCAATCAATCTTTTAAGTATATAAAATAATATATATAATAATAGAAATTAATAAATCATCTTATAATAATAATAGCAATAGTGTTGTTATTACCTCAAATGATTCAATAAATGGTGATTCATATTTACAACAAAATGCTAATAATAATGAATGTCCAACCTAAAATAAATAAAAGATTATATTTATTAAGGAATGACATCATCATTCATAATTCAAAAAATTCATACCTTTTGATCATTCATACAAAAATTTAATATTTCATCTTTGACAAATTTTTCATCTTTAATATTTATATTAATAAAATCATTTAATATTGTTGTTATAAAATTATAATTATAATTACTGTTATTGTTTTTGTTATTGTTATTACTACCATCACTACTATTATTGTTGAAGTTTTTAATCAATACATTTACATTTGTATTTTTAAACCAAAATAAAAATAAATTTAACCAGATTCTATTTGGTGTTGGAATTCGCTTTCTAATAGCCTCAATCCATTCTTCTGATGTTGTTGATAATATTAATGGTCTAAATAGAAAATTGACTTTTATTTACATAGAAAAAAAATATTAATTAATGAATAATTAAATAATTATAATTAAATAATTATTTATAAACAATAATTTACCTAATTGTAATTTCTTGTTATCATCAATTTTATCATCAAGCAATAAAAACTCATCATCATCATTGATTTTCTCTAAATTATTTAATATAAATAATGACATAAAACTATTTGGCCCGATGCTTTTAATATTATTATTATTATTATTACTATCATTAATTTCATTACTATTAAATAAATTTTTAATTTTAATTTTAAATTCATTATCATTATTATCACTGTTATAATCATTTTTTCCTACTTCTTCAACAATCATATCATCATCACTGCTGCTACTACTATTACTATCATTACTACCACCACCACTGCTATTACTACTATTACTACCACCCTTACTGTTACCATTAGTTGACACATTTAACCCTTCTAATGTTTCATAAATATGTAATAAATGTTCCCTTAACACAATTTTTAATCTTATAATTTTTGTGAAATCCTGCTTTTTACCATTTTTCATATTATCTAACAAGTCGTGTGCGTACTCTAAAAAATCAAATGAGTCCAACATTCCTAAACAATTTATTGATGATTGTGTTGCAATCAAATGAAACGTAGGTGGTAAACTATCTGGAATTGACATCAATGCCTATTATAAAAAGGTAATGTTTGTTTTTATTTTTAATACTAATAGTTATAAAATAATAATTATAATAATTATTACTAACTTCTAATTTTTTATTTGAATCTTGTATTTGTTCAAGTATTTTCATCAACTCTGAAGTGATCTCTTCCTTAAAGGTTGAAGTTCCATATTTACGAATGAGATTTTTAAATACATGTAAATGGTTAACTTGTTTCCTACACAAAAATAAATATATATCAAAAAGTTTAATTTCTATTTTTCCTTTAAAAAACATAATTAAATCCAAAATAATAATTTTCTTTACTTTATAGCACATCCAAATGGAACATCTATCAATCTAACTTCGCCTTGTGGTCCAATCAAAAAAGATTTGGCCAATCTCTTATTACTTGCACAATTATAATCACCATAATCATCATCGTTATCATTGCCACCATCATTATAGTTCTTTTTCTCATGGGACCTACCACTCAAACCATATCCAAGTGGTGATGAAACTGTGGTTAAGAGATTCCATCCTTGTCCAATTGTAAAGTTACCTACACGTCTACCATGTCTCATATGATATATTTCAACTATTCCTCGAAATGGTGAATAAATAACTAAAAATAATGTAATTCTTTTGGTACTAGACTTTTTCCTACTGTTGGTTGAGGTGACTGATACTTTTGATGATGATAATGTGGCTGCAAGTGATTTATTTTTTTTGTTTTTTAATTTTTCATTTTTATAATTATTGACATTGTTATTGTTATAATAATCACCATTGCCACAATCATCATCATCATCATCATCATCATCACAATCTTCTTCAATTGCCTCTACCCACCCACATTGTGCATTTCTTATTCCTTTAAACATTAATACAATTTCGCCTTCTTCTACATCAATTAAAGTCACCTATAAAAAATTAATTTTTTTTTATGTATACATGTATTATAATGTGCATGCATATATTTATAAATGAATGTTTACATACCCTCCCTAACGAATCAGTCAAAGCTGCTAATTGATATTTTCCATCAGCCGCAGCAGGTGACATAACTATTGATAAAATTTTTCTATTTGAGTCATTTAATGCCAAAATCATAGGTATAGGTTTAGCTGCTGCAATATTACCACTACCATGATCATCAACAGTACTATTATCACTGCTAACATCAACACCACTAGCTGCAGTTAATAAAGTCTTGGCTAATGAATAAACAGCATTTGAAACTTTATTGGCAACCATGCTTGCAATAGACACTGCTGACAAAAAAGGTTTACTAGAATCAGATGTTGCATAATATGATAACATTGGATTTGATCCAACAGCAATATATCTTTCCTTTGCTTGAAATGAAAACAAAGCAGTACTTGACGAAGATGAAACTAATGATCTGTCAAGTACATGTGTTGTCCAGTGTTTTGATGGTCCACAGCTTACTACATCAAAAACTTTTCCTCTGCCCTCAAAATACCACTTCTTATATGCAAACGCTGTAGTAGACCCATCATCACCATCAATACCTCCATTTCCACCAAAAAACTCTGGTGTTGAATTGAATTTCTGGTGTTGTCGTTGTTGATTATGATGACAATCATTATAGTAATGGCTGTTGCAAACTCTTAGAACTGTCCATAAACTTTTCCCATCAATACTAACAACTTTACCACCTTCATGTAATATAGTGATCTCTTCATCTAACGATTCTGAAAATGATGAAAGTTTTTGATTGTAATCATGATAATGTGAATGCATGGATATTGGTAATGAGAATGTAGGGAATGTTGCAGTGCGTAGTTTTATTGAAATTATTGGAGAAGTGTCTAGTTGCTGTGATATTTGTAAACTCCCTGACTAATTACAATAATAAAGAAATTAGAATGATATATAAATAATTTTATTATTATTAGGAGCTTGTTACCTGAGTAAAAATTCTCAAGTATCCAGTGTTATAACCAATTATAACAAAGATTTGACTATTAGGAAAACAAAATAAAGCAAACTTTTCAATATCAAAAATTATTTTTCCTTTTTTTTTTTTTTAAAAAGAATGCTTGAAATGATTGATTGACCTTTTGAAAGCTGATGGCATGAAAAATGGTAAACATAATATTGCAGTTATTTTTTCACTAATTATAAAATATAAATTTTGTTATAAGCATCATAAGCCTTTTTCCAAATAAATATACATAGAGAATAAAATTACCCTCGTTCAAAGTGTCCTTTAAATTCTCCAATAACTTCATACTCTTTCCTGGCTTTATCTAAAGCCATAACCACAAAAAGATCAGGTGTTGCACTCACAAGATGATTTCCAGTGTCCGACATAGAGAATAAGTATGGAGATAATTGATCGGAGGTAGTAGTGGTATTATTGATGTTGATTGCAGATGATGATGGCGTTGTAATTGAAGAAGTTTTGGTGGTTGTGATAGCGGCAGAAGAAATATTTGAGTTTAACGAAGTATTAATTGATGATTGTTGATAATAATTTTTTGACTATAATATATATTAAAGTTAGATGTTTTTATTTATTATATAATAAATTATTGATAATTTTCAAAAAATTACCTCAATAGTATTCCACTCCCAAGCTTCATTCGGTATATTCCAAACAGAATCTTCTAAAAATTGTTAGTGATTCTCATCAATTAGTCATTATTTGATTATTTTTTTAAAAAAATATAGATATATAGATATGGATGAGTAGAAAACCTCCAAAATCATCAACTTTGTCATTAGTGGAGGTAGAAGCGGATAAAGATAAACTTGCTAATACATTATGAGGAATTCTTCCATATAATGAAAGTTGTGGTTGTGGTTGCGTTTTTGATTTTAAGATTGACTTCATTATAATTTTATTACTGATTCAAGAATACAATATTTAATCATTTTGAGATTTATTGGATAATATTTTATCAACCAATGACCACCACCCAATTTGTGCGCCATTTTTGGGGTACGAAATTTTGGGGGAATAATAGAACACCGGAATTTTGTTGCATGATTGTATCATCGAGGGATGAGGTCAGATTAAGGTTGTGGGCGAAACCTCCTTAGTAATTGCTGAAACTATGGCAAAACTATACTAAATCTTATCAAAAATCCTGTTGAAACTATGCCGAAATGGCAAAACCTCAAAATGCAAAACTCTGCCAAAACTCCAATAAACAATTAATGTGTAACCTGCCAAAACCCTGCTGATTGATTTCTGGAGGAATTTTGGCAAGCAACCTTAGGTCAGATTAGCCTTGTGTACACAGCATAATGGACATCCTATTTATCACAAAGTGACAAAATTGAACGTCGATCTTTTTTATATTGTGAAACAGAAATTTTCAATTATTTTAAAGTAAGAAAAAAAGAGGAATATCGGTACAAAAAAACTGATGCACCTTGCATATTATTTTTTTATATTGATAAGTTGTTTATTCTTTTCTTTATGTTTGAG